TTTGTTCCACTTTTCTAACGTACATAATAAGACTGGAGAGAATCCAGTGAAGGACGCTAATGTTAGAAGGTATGTTTAGTGACAATATAAATCTAATTTTATCAGGTATCGCCGCGCCGAGTTCATCATTCTTTTGAGGTCATTTATTTATTCGTTATTATAAGAACGATTAATGAATAGCTCTGTAATATCGTTGTCCATTGACAGGCACAGTGGCAATTATTTAGGTGAAGTGGCTAGCAGCCTCTTCAGTTATTTTTTTGGATAGTGCTTATCGAGATTTATTTCTCTCACAAAATAAATAAATATAATTTCTTTTAGTATTATTTTTTGTGAAGAAATTTCGTGTAAAAAAGTACATAAAATTATTGATATGCTTAGAGTGCTTTTTTATTTATTCAAGTAAATAATCATTTTTTATTCACCTTTATAAAAGTTATAAAAAGAAAATTATTGATTTTATCGTCGTTCTCATTTAAAAATATGTTGGTTTATTATGATTTACGAACGCTTTTAAAAAATTAACATTTCATTATGATCTGGATTAGTGGTATTTGAAGTGTAGAACTTCGGTGCCTGACCATTGGAGATTTATCAACCAATGTAATTTTGAGATAAATATTAAGCATGTAAGTACCTGAAGAAGAAAAACAAGATAACCCAAATTGCTTATTTAGAAAGATTTTGACTATTATAAAGAGATTCGAATACCAAAATTTTGAAACTGTTTTACAATATTTATTTTCTGTGGAATGACTTAAAATTTGCGCCATTTAGGCGTCTGAAAGCATTATGTTTCAAAAATTCCAGTTTAAAAAATTATTGCATATGATTTTGAAGGTGAATCATCCGAACATGAACGCAACATTTGTACCAGTTTACAATTTTCAAGGGTTTAATACATTGCTTAGGAAAAGACAACACGAACGAAGGGAGCGGTGTCGTACTCATGTTCTACCTACTGTTTACAGTTATTAATCTATTTTTTTAATTTCTGTATTGATATTGACAATTGAGGCTCACATTGCCATTTCGGCAATATCCTGAGCGCCTTAATACTATAGGAACTTCGATCATAGATGTCGCAACAGGGTAATTTATAAATAACCAAATCGGAGAAAACTTACGCTAAAACGAAAACGACAAAAGGTATCAGCTTCTTTGATATTATGTTTTGACTCCATGACGTTTTAATGAGTTGATCTATTTATTTAATTGTATTGTAATTCGTTACTTTTCGTAATACATTTTCGTTCCCATTATTCATTAGTATTCTAATGAGTACAGTGGGAAAAGTGTACAATAACCCTTAGATTTGTGTTTAGGTAATGGAAATATTTTTTTAACTTCCCCCTTAGTACGAAAAAACTATGGTTAATTGAGACTATCCATTAATGTAAATTTTTTACATTACTTATTACAAAAGTAATGGAGAATTTAAATTACTTACATTACTCGTTATAAAAGAATTGGATAATGTCAGTTATTTACATTTTAATTTGAAAGGGTGACATTTTTTTTTACTAATTTATGATCAATAGCTTAGTTTAGAATAAAGTAATTTAAGTGGTGAAGTAGGTAAGTGGCATACTAAATTNTTAAAATAATATTTAATATTAACCACTAGGAATATCCAAAATGTTATTTATATTAATATTATCGCAACCCTGTTGAGCATAAATTTTCAATTTAATAAGCTTTTGACAATGTTAAATCGGGTAAGATGTTAAATGTACTTAAAAATGTAGGGATGAATTAGAGTTAGAAGAGTGATACTTAGTTTGTATAAAGAGCAACAGGCAGTTATAGAGCAGGAGTTGCAACGTAGAGAAGTAAATATCAGGAAGGGAGTCACACAGGGATGTACACTGTCGCCGCTACTTTTTAATCTATACATAGAAGACGCGATAAAGAAAAGGTTAGATGCGTTCGAAATGTGGTGTGAATGATGAGGATACCGTGGATAGAGAAGGTTGGAGATGAAGAGGTATTAGAAAGAATAGGAGAACATAGGATTCTATGGAAGTCAATAAAAAATAGGCGAGATAGGTTGGTAGGACACCTTCTCAGGCATGAATGTCTAGTCAGAGACATATTAGAGGGAGAAACGGGAGTTAGGAGGGGTAGAGGTTGACCTAGATTAGATTACTGTTCACAAATAGTTAAGGATGTGGGATGGTCTAGGTTTAGACCGAGCGGCATGGCCTAGAGGTCTAGACCATTGCTTAGCATTCGGGAGGACGCCGGTTCGATTCCGGGTCCGTCTGCCTTGGTCCAAGTTTTTCTGTGGTTTCCTTGGATCACTTAGGCAAATGCTGAGGCAGTAATATTCCACAGATAATCTTTCATTCTCTTCTGTCTTCATTTCGTCCGTCTCATCTTTTTCACCCAAACCACCACCCACCCATTCCCACGATTCCTGAAAGCAGGCTGAAGAGGGCCTTCCGCCCTACCTTCCGGCGTAGTCCGGAGGGATTGCTCGCCCACCAGCATTACTGGCTGGTGGGAATGAAACACCCAAAAGTTTTTTGTTTTTTTCTAGGTTTAGGGACATGCGAAGATTGGCTTAGGATAGGAAGAAGTGGAGGTGCGGGCCCAACCAGTCTTATGATGATGATGAATCCTGTTATTAATCCTAAACATAAAAGTATACAAAACTCAATTTTTATGAATATTTCTACAAACAGGTGTATTCTAACACGACTTTGCTTTCTATTTATCTGCTAAAATGCCATTGTGGCGAAACCTCTTTGAATATTAGGTAGTTCACAAATGCTAATTAAAAAATCATTAAATAAAATTCATCGAAATTGTCGCTGGCATGTAGTTACTCATTGAAAAGTAATAAAATTTTTGATTTATTATTGCTTTGTTCCACTTTTCTAACGTACATAATAAGACTGGAGAGAATCCAGTGAAGGACGCTAATGTTAGAAGGTATGTTTAGTGACAATATAAATCTAATTTTATCAGGTATCGCCGCGCCGAGTTCATCATTCTTTTGAGGTCATTTATTTATTCGTTATTATAAGAACGATTAATGAATAGCTCTGTAATATCGTTGTCCATTGACAGGCACAGTGGCAATTATTTAGGTGAAGTGGCTAGCAGCCTCTTCAGTTATTTTTTTGGATAGTGCTTATCGAGATTTATTTCTCTCACAAAATAAATAAATATAATTTCTTTTAGTATTATTTTTTGTGAAGAAATTTCGTGTAAAAAAGTACATAAAATTATTGATATGCTTAGAGTGCTTTTTTATTTATTCAAGTAAATAATCATTTTTTATTCACCTTTATAAAAGTTATAAAAAGAAAATTATTGATTTTATCGTCGTTCTCATTTAAAAATATGTTGGTTTATTATGATTTACGAACGCTTTTAAAAAATTAACATTTCATTATGATCTGGATTAGTGGTATTTGAAGTGTAGAACTTCGGTGCCTGACCATTGGAGATTTATCAACCAATGTAATTTTGAGATAAATATTAAGCATGTAAGTACCTGAAGAAGAAAAACAAGATAACCCAAATTGCTTATTTAGAAAGATTTTGACTATTATAAAGAGATTCGAATACCAAAATTTTGAAACTGTTTTACAATATTTATTTTCTGTGGAATGACTTAAAATTTGCGCCATTTAGGCGTCTGAAAGCATTATGTTTCAAAAATTCCAGTTTAAAAAATTATTGCATATGATTTTGAAGGTGAATCATCCGAACATGAACGCAACATTTGTACCAGTTTACAATTTTCAAGGGTTTAATACATTGCTTAGGAAAAGACAACACGAACGAAGGGAGCGGTGTCGTACTCATGTTCTACCTACTGTTTACAGGAATTTGTTTTTGTTTTCGCACGCTCCCTTCCCCGGAGAAGTGTTTCCTACACTTCACTCCTCCATCATCGCTTTTCTCCCCGCTACAATACCGAAGTAAACTAAACAGAAACCCAAGTTACGTCAGGTTAGGCCAGGTTTGTTCGTGAATTTGTTTTGAAAAAAAGAATAAATTTAACATGAACATACACACTTTATAAAGAAAATGTTGAAATTGCTGATGACTTCAATAACAATTATATTTTTCAAAAAATATAAAGTGACTCCTTAGGGGTTAAAGGCCATTTCTAGATAGCTGGATGCTCTCTATCTAGAAGTCTTATGAACTGCAGCAACCACTAGGAATATCCAAAATGTTATTTATATTAATATTATCGCAACCCTGTTGAGCATAAATTTTCAATTTAATAAGCTTTTGACAATGTTAAATCGGGTAAGATGTTAAATGTACTTAAAAATGTAGGGATGAATTAGAGTTAGA